TTCTCTTGGCATTTCGCTCCTCCTGCCTGGCAGGAGGGGCATCGGAGAGCAGCACAAAGGCTCAGCGGACGTCGAAACCCGCGGAGGCACAAGCACACAGCCCTTCTTCTTCTTCTTTGACAGCCGTCTCTGCCCTGGAGCAACGTCTGCACTCCCGACACTACTGGAACAACGCCGGAATCTCGCTGCACCAACGCAAGGTCCAGACGGCAGCAGTGAGTTCCCTTCTTATCCGCGCGCGCTTGTTTGTCTCATTATTAGATTATATTGGGCTCACCAGAAGGAGTTTGTTTGTTCTCTGACCTTTCGGGCAGCTGGACCGGCTGTCCCCTTCGTCAAAGCGTGAACTGATTTTATCGATCAGCAATTTAAGGTTGTGGCTGTACGTGTCATGCAACCTAAAGACAGACTGCCCTCTACTGAAACCTCCGCAGTTGTCTACAAATACGTTGCAAGGATGAAGTTTGCAATTACGTTGGAGAAACAGGGTGCAGATTGCTGCCCCGCCTACACGAACACAAAGTGGCGGCCTGGAGACTAGACCCTAACTCACAGCTTGCAACTCATATCGGAGAGACTGGCCACAACTTAGATATTCAAGGAGTGGCCATCGTAGGCTGAGGAACCTTAAAAGCGAAGGGACTGTCGCGTGAGACATTGTACTCAGACACCAACTCCGTCAACAGGCATATTGACCTTCCCGCAGCCTAAAAGGTCCTACGCTATTACGTGAGTAGAGTACGGGACAAGGTCGAACCGAAATTAAGAGTTGCAGCCAAAGACGGCCCGTGAAGAAACCACCGGGATTGGGAGCAAGATTAACAGCATCCTCTGCCGTGGGGACGAAACACAACACTGACTGCCATCAAGTTATGCCAAAATTCAAGCAGCGAACGGAGAAAAATCGATCAGCCCATGGCCAACACATACAGCCATAAATTTAAATTGTTGGTCGATAAGGTCAGTTCACGCTTTGACAAAAGACAGCCAGCCCAGCCGTCTGAAACATCAGCGAACAAACAAACTCACTCAGGTGAGCCCACTATGCACTATAATTTCCCTCCCGGAATTCTGACTTTTGTAAACTTTGACTTGTTTAGCTTGTAAATTCAAGCTGCTGTTATCTAATTTATGCAAAGACAGGAAGCAGTTAACAAACTGTGCCGAAAATTGTTTGTACAAATAAATCCTGCTGTGCTTCGTACTTGGAAATCAATATTTTAAATACTGTGTGTGTGTGTCAGGTCGGTCACATGCTTCCAGGCTTTGGCTGTCGATGATAGTGTTTACCTATCCCTGAGGGTGGAGGGGGGCATGCGCGATAGTATACGAGCCCGAAAACAGTTCGCCTGCTCCCCCTCCCCCCGC